GCCGTTTTTTTAGTGGCCCAGACCAGAGCTGGGATACTGGGGTGGGAGTAATGATAATTGTCTATTATTTGAACTTAAAATTATTATGAAAATTTTGTACGTTGTTGGAAGTAATTATACCGATTATATAGCAATCACGATGCATATCAATTTGCATCATAYAATATMATATATAATATTAATATCATTGACATTAAATTCAAATTAATAAATAAGCATTAAAAATGCGATATCTATTCTTTGAATTCAAAATATACTATTTAGTTGTTCTATATTATCTTAGTATTAGATAGTATTAAGTATAGTATTGAATATAGTATTTATAGTTATCGTATGCCTACCTGCCATTAATTCCAAACTTGGAAATTTCTGGAACTTGAAAACCATTTTTCTGCGAAATAATTGTATTTAATATATTTATTATTATTATCATTTTCAAACAAGTAGTGGACAAAGTTTAGTTGCTCTTGTTTGGTTTTGGCCGACAGTTGYATAAACGCGTAGTTAAAAGTCAAACATAATTGTATTTCACAATCATGACGTCTGATTCAAAAAAACACCACACAGAAAAGTTAATATTGGTTGTCCAAAAACATCCGATACTGTATGATATGACATTGCCAGAATTTAGAGACACCAGAAAAAAAGATCACGTGTGGGACACTGTGATAAGTCATGAAATGAATGGAGAAAAAGGTAATATTATTTTACTATTTTGAATTTCATTTTATTTTAATTTAACTTTATAATATTTACTCACTACTTAGCTATATGTAAATATGTAACAGAGTATGATAATAAAACTCACCTATATATATAAATATATATAGTTTTTAAATTGTTATACATTTTATAGGTGCAGTACGTGTATAATTTTTGAAACATTAAACATGATTTTAACATTTAGTTAAATTTATATTTTTTTTTATCATACCTTTCAAAATAGTAATAATTTTAAATAATTTTTTTCTTGAGAATGAAGATTTTATATTTTAAGAGTTAAAAAAATTTAMAAATTTTTCCCGTATGCGTAAAGATTCATTGGTTCCTCTTCGATTATTGTCTTCAATCTGACTAAAGCCTGCGCTTGACTCATCTTCGTCGGAGGTTATATCTACATCACTATTGTTCACGCGAAGATAGTTGTGCAATATACATGTAGCTAAGACAATTTTTTTAGTAGTTTCTTCCTTTACCTCWATCGGTCCTTTGTAAACCCTCCATTTTTTTGTAAGAATGCCGAAAGCATTTTCAACCACACGCCTTGCACGGCATAGTCTGTAATTATAATTATCTAGCCTTGGATCACTTCTTGATAGTCTCCGTGGAAAGGGCTTCATTAAATATGATTTTAGAGCAAATGCCTCATCTCCAATTAAAACCATAGGCGTATCTTCCCTTTGGMCAGGCAATGGTGCATTTTGTGGTACATTTAATGTACCAGCTTCTAGTCGTTTGCCCATAGTTGACTCCTCTARAATACCACCATCTGAATTTCGACCATATCCACCAACGTCAAAACAAATAAATTTATAGCTTGGATCGACTATAGCCATCAAAACAATTGAAAATTTTTTGAGATAGCAAAAATTTCGGGWTCCACTGTTATTGGGAGATTTTATAGTGACATGTTTCCCATCAATGCTACCTATACAATTGGGGAATTGCCATTTTTCGTAAAAACCTCGTGCAGATTCTTCCCAAATGTTCGTGGTAGGTTCAGGCATAAACATTGGTCCCATAACTTTAATAATAGACTCACTGACCTCTGTGACAATGTTACTAACAGTAGAAAACCCAACACGGAAACTATGGCCTATTGTCGAAAATGAGTCACCAGTGGCAAAATATCTAAAAAAAAATTAAAAATTGTATAAGATATATTTTAAAGTTAAATATTAGATAGGTAGATAAATAATAAAAGTAAAATATTTATTATATTTAAGAATATTAATTTTTTTTTAATTTATACGGTTGTGTTAGGAGAAACTTTAAAAACAAAGTGGAAAAGCTTAAGAGATAATTACCAAAAACATTTAAGAGCAAATAAGACAACTACTGGTCAAGCTGCAGGTGCTACAAAAGGAAAGCACTTGGATACATACAAATATTGGGCCTGGGCAAATCATTTGGAGTTTTTAAAACCACATTTGAGTTTCGCTAAGTATGTATTTCTATAAATAAATGAATATTTTTAAAAAGAAAAACTTTAATTTGGTATTAAATTAATTAGTACGTTGTTTGTGATAAATAGGACTATGATTTATATGTGTTTATGAGTTTAAAATACAAAAATTTAATATAATATATATTTATACGACCAAAATATGTAATATGAAAATATTGTGTTAAAAATTAAAAATTATTATAGATTATGTAAAAAATTAATAAAAATGTGTTAAAACTTAAAAACAAACTTTTTATTAATTAATTTGATTACAATATTGCGGACCACCTAACTGCACTTTAAAATGTTCTGTTCCGCATGCAGATAGTAAATAAAATATTACTAATAAGACGTAATAATGATAAAACAAAAATCTAATATATTATGTAAATTATTTTTAAAAATAGTTTATAATTTAAATAATAATATTTAGATAATATAATTTTGTTTTTAGCACAATGTCTAATGTTCCAGTAGTAGATYCCGAAGAAAGGCTAGACATACAGGACAATATTTATGAAAACGATAAAAGCAATGAAAAAATTCCAGAAAAAGGAAAAAAAAGATCACTGRAACGAGAAAAAGTTGATGTACCAATCGAATCTAATGTCGATAAAGTGTTAGARCATTTGAATAAAAAACAAAAGATCCCACTTKATGCAGTTGAAATGCTTATGTTAAGCCATGCTAAAATAATTAAAACTTTTTCTCCGAGACGACAAGCCATAGCAAAAWAAAATATTACAGAAATTGTTACAAATTTGGAATTGKAACAGATTGAAGAAAATGAACAYCGTCAATATTATCAATCATCTCCACTAACATACCAGCCTATAGATGATGTGCAGACATACCAGCCTACAAGTGATGTAATTAATTTGTCAACTGCAGACCATGCTAGCAATTATAATATACATCAATTATAATTTATGATTAAAGTGCCATAAAAACTAAAATTGTAAAATTCAAATTCATTAAACTAAACTTATCAAATGTAATACCCCTAGCTACTTTTTAATTGTATTATTATATGTAAAATTAAATATAATATTTTGGTTTCGTAAAATACAGTTATAATATTACAAAATCATACCTTAGTGAAATCGCTAGCCGTTCCGATGGTGGTATTGGATTACGAAAGTTTGTTGGCATTTTTTGAATGTCATCGATAATCCATCCCAAAATTTGATCGAAACACTCGRGAGTCATTCTAAAATATATGTGAAACCTTTCTGGGTCCTTTCTTAATTCAGGCATTAGAGTACAATACTCTCCAGATATCTCTCGTTCCTTATTAATACTATGAACCCAACATTTTCTTATTTTCTTTCTATAACRAAGTATATTTTTTTAATTGTTTTAAATTACAATTATTATATAAAGTAAAAATACCTTTTACGTTCTTCATCATCTGCCACTATTGCTGCCAAAAGTAAAATTTCGTCATCTTCTGATTCTGATGATAAATATACGTCCATTGTATATTTGTACGTAGTAATGGATACACGAATATTATGTGATTAAACTTTTTAAACACGTGCCTTCGACAGTTGAACGTGGTATGAAATTATGGTATGGGTTCGCATTTAAGCAATTACTGTTCTTATCATAAGATAAAATTACCTATAGCTTACAGGAATGCTTAGGCATTCTCCTCTTTCCCTTTTTATTTTGGGTCAGTCAATGCAGTTATTATTATTTTACTATACTAGCTATACTAACTATACTAATGACTTCCTAATGAGCTTAGATAATAT